AATAGCGTCTGATGTCTGTCGATTAGCCGTCCGCTTAGATCAGCAGGTAACATTAGTACACTCTACGTTCATAACCATCCGCTAGAGGTTTTATAGCCGCTTCATTACACTTGCTCGAAGAAAATGGAACAGTTCTGTTCCAAAAAAGAGATGAAAAGTGGCATTAGTACCATATTCCCTTCCCACTCATCTTGGGTTATAGCTCATACTCCTTGCATTTTCAGCAGGGCCTTAACAATTCATATCTATGTGCGCCGCTATGTGCTAAACCGTTGGCATGTCGCTTCTGTAGGCAAATACAAACTTAAATGTGCATATAAAGTGAGGTTAATGAGTGTCCAAGCGAGTTCACATATGTATATGTATGTTCCTGTAAGCGTCGTCAAAATTGCGTAAATTACTGTCGTTGGAGCGGCAAACATTTCCTTAGCACGCTCCATCCTACACGCTACACGCTGTGCTAAATTTTCGCACTACTACATTCGGCAAATTAGAGCTGAGTTCGAGTAAGGAAAACATATAATATATATTATTCATATTTAAATATGTAAGCCCTTAATTTTAAGTGAAAAAAATGTTAAGTGTAGCCACATTATATGCATATGTATATAGCTGGCGCAGTGTAACCGCTGATGTGATATTCGGCCGAGCTTCTCCTCCTATTTGTGGTGTACGCCTTGTCGTGTTCCCAACAAATGGACACACCTACTGTTTATTCAGCCAATGGCTTTTATTTGCATGTCAGAAATACACTCGAAGCACTTGACATTCCCAGCCGTGGGACGTGGGACGTGGGACGCAGTTGGAAGAATTATTTTTCTATAACTTTTGGATGTTGTTCGGACCAGGACTCGAACCCTGGCCATCCGAATGTTAATATCTACGCAACACTAACCATTACCCATGTTAGGCAGTTTGTGGCGATGGAGCTGCAGCGGTATGCGCTAATGGTTTTCAGTATAGCGAACTTTGTGCCAAGTCAGAGCTACATTACAATTACACAGCTCAACAGAAAATATAGTAAGGCGGCCAGTAAAAGCTTCGATGCTCCATCGGGCGTATGAATGACATTCCGTAAATTAATAGTGAATTTAAATTTATTGCAATTAATTAAAAACAGCGCTCGTTGACTGCTGCCCGTAGGCTTGAGTGGAGGAAAATTGTACTTGACTAAAGGGCATTTTCCTATGTTTGGCATAATCGCAATGAATTTAAACATACATACTTGCATGTACGAGGGACGGCTGATAAGTTCGGGACCTAAAGCACTTAATGCAACAATGTATAATTTTATGATTTCTATTTTTTAGTATAGTCTCCCTAATGTTGAATACACTTTTCACATCGTGAATACAAAGCCTTTATACCACTGAGAAAATATTCTTTAGATTTCTCTTTCATCTCACTGTCGTCTGAAAATCTTCGTCCCCGTAGCTCATTTTTTAAATTTAAAAAAAGGACAAAGTCACTGAGAGCCAGATACGGACTGTAGGGTGGATGGTCCATTTCTGTAAATCCAGTAGCTTTTAAGGCATCTCTCGCAACCCGAGTCTTCTGTACGACTACCTCAACAAATTAGCGTAATACTAACCGTTCATTGTAGATCCCTTTGGCAAGTAATCAATTAATAATATTCCCTCGCTATCCCAGAAAATGGTCGCCCTCTTCGACGCCGACCTTTCCATTTTGAATTTTTTGGGTGGCCTTTCCTCATTTTTTATCCACTACATCAACACCTGTTTGAACTCGGGATCATACCGACGAATAAAAGTTTCATCAACAGTTACAATGCGGTTGCAAATTTCTTCCAAATCATCTTGACACAACTCCAAAAAATGCTCGTCGAGCGGCGTGAGTATTCGATACCCAAATTTCTTTCATATTTAAATATTTATGCAAAATCTCTCCAGCGCGTACTTTGCTTATCTGTAATCCTTCTGCTATCTGCCCCAATCTAATTATTCGCTCAGCCAGTAGTAATTTTTCGACTTTCTGAACAGTTTCTTCGGTCACGTTCATCACTGGGCGTCATCTTCACAGATCTCTCTTTTTTTACAAGGAGTATTAGTCACAGCGCTCCAAACTGCAAGAGTGTCCATTGAAATAGTGTTGTTGCTTGTTCCAGGAAAAATATTAATAAACCTAATAAAAAAAGTTGTGTTATCTTTACTATTAATGAGTCCCGCAATTTAAATTATCAGTAACGCGTTGCTGTGTCAACTCTAACTATGTTAGATCGCGAAAAAGCCAGCCGCCCCTCGTATGAGAAAAACTAAGTTCGAATGAAACCGAACATTATTTACCGCTGGTTACTCGAGTTGGATCGTTAGATTTTATTTACTCAATACAAAAAAATCAAAATGATTCTAGCGGTCGCTGCGAGTTTCAGATAAATCCCTGATCAATATTAATATGCAGAAAGTTATAGTTCTAATGTGATTTATCAGTGTGGCCCAAATTTGCAGCGGATAACCGTACTTTTTACATGCAACCAATTACTAAATATTTAAAGAAATTTGAAGAACCCGCATCGGTTACAGATATTGTGAAGCCGGTGCACTATAGTTTTGCTTGTTGCCCTCAAATATCTCTACTCTACGTGAAAGCATAGCCGAAGACCCGAAAATATCTATTTATCGACGTTCTCAGGAGCTAAGACTTTCTTACGGCATGTTATTTAGACTTACTCCTTCATCCATATAAAGTTCAGTTCACAAACAAACTAAACCCACTTCGCCATTGACGACGCCGTGCATTGGATCGATTGGGTGCTTGAACAACCCGCAGTGGACAGCGAGTTTTCGAAAAAAAATTTCTTCAGCAACGGGGTACATTTCTCACTCGGGTAATACATAAATTAGAAAAATTAACGTATTCAAGGCTCTGGGAATCCTCAAATAATTGAAGAGAGGTCATTACTCATAAACAGTTACCATCTGGTGTGCTTTTGGGACCGGAGGCGGGATTGTACTTTGATTGTTTGAAAAGTCCTTTTTTGAGCACTTGAAAACCAGCTTTCGTCTAGTTGGGGCTGAGATACCCCCAAATATATACCAAAAAAGTTACATCGAACGAGACTCGCCAGAAGCACTGAGAGCTTGGTTGAGAGGTTCTTATGCATTCACCTTGTAATCCGCACCTCGCACCAAGAGATTACCTTCTGTTCATGTCTATGGCGGATGATTTGGCTGGTGAAGAATTAGCATCAAATGAAGCCCGGGAAAATCGATTGTCCCAATTTCATTGTCCATATAGACAAGGGTTTCTATGAGAGAGGATTAATGGCATGGTGTTTTCCTTTTGCAGCCGAAAAACGGAAATATCCTTAATTTTGTTTTGGGAGCAGCACGTGTAACAAGTCAATTTATGAAAATTACCGCAACTTACGCTTTCATGTCATTACGAAATATATTAGTACCACGCACCACCAAGTATATTAGTACCACCAACGCACGTGTACATTTTAAAGGAAATCTTCGCATGCCAATTGACCCCGTAGAAAGTAAACTACGGTTTAATATGGTTTGGTATGCCGAACGATGGAAAACTTGTGAAATGTGTTTCATAACTGTTTCCACTTTCTCATTATTCCTGCAACACCCAGGAACTGAATTGTCCGAAAAATGTACTCTTTTTAGATAATTTTTTGGATCCCATCTGGGCTAAGTTCTCCTAGATTTCCAACAAGACAGGTTTCTATTTGATGGAATCTTTATCGTACCGTGAAGCTTAGTAAGCGCATCTGCCTTTTTTTATTATAATAAGCCTAACGAATACCCTCCGCCCGCCCAACTGACACTAGAGGCGACATCCGTATAACTGTTCAGCTACAGAAATACAAATTATTCACCAGCTGAAATTTTGTAGTTAAGGAATTTTTAAATCTAATTGTCCAGGGAAGCAATAATAGCTTTTTTGCTGCTAAAAAGTGGATCTGAGAGATCGATGGTGCTGAAATGAAAATTAAAATATGGACACAATCGGCAGAAGGGTTCATTCAATTTATAATTTGTTTTACATGACTGTAATAGTAAAGGCCTAAACTGCCTAGATGCACGAGTTGGAACATTAAAGTTTACCTCAGATGAGAGCCATGAACTACCAATTGATCCGTTGTGAGAGTAAGTAGATCTGGAAGCGTAAAACGGTTGGTATAGGGAGGAAGATTTATCGTAGAGTTCCATCGGATACTTATCGGAATGAACTTTATTGGGGTTCCATATCAGTATACCATATTCTAATATTCGCGTCACCAAAATCCTATAAAGCGATCTAGTTTCATAAGGGTCTTTAATTTCTTTGACCATCTTTAGACAAATGCAAAAGCATTTTTAGCTTTTAAGACAGTGATTGATATGGGGCATTTGTCTTTTAGCTCTGACTACTGAAGAGGTTTCACTGATCAGAAGTGAACTACTAACTCTATGGCCTTATCCACTAACAGACACTTACAACTACAACCAGTCAAATCAGCTCCATCAGCTGGTCAAAGGAGTCCCGGCTCGAAATGGATGATCGATTGTGTAAAAATTCCGAGAAATTTCTTCAACCGTTAGGCGGTAACACCGACAAGAAGCTACAAGCCTGCCAAAACACGGTCCCCAGGTCAGTCCTTTAAGTATCTGTGGTTCTGCCTCCAACTCGTAGCGACTCAAGCGATATCAGAACATTTACTGTCACGGTCCTGAGGGCAGTGTTTGGCAAGCCTTTAGCTTCTGTTCACCAGAGGCGCGGTTGTGTGCAAGCTTAGCTCTTGAAGCAATCGGCTCGCTGTCTAAATGTGTATAAAATTTAAGACTTTGCGAATGAGTACACAAGGTTTGCAACCCGCATAGTACAAACCAGCTCCAAACGAAAAGTCAAATAACCGACAAACGATCAATACAGTATAAATACATTTCCGTACCATTTTTGGTTGAATTATATCAAAGACTAAAAAGGATAACAATACTACAACTAATGTGTCTTGTTAAACTGCACAAAAGGGTCAATATGCCAAGTTTGAATATTTAATTGGAATTTTATTCTGTACGATAATATTAGTTACAATCCTTTACAGTAACTTAGCAAGTATAAAATAAACATATGTATACAGAATGTATGCTATCGGAGTATGTGTACATGCGGAAAGAAAAGCACAAATATTAATACAACAGTACTATGCACAAAACTTAATTTCTTATCACTAAAGTCGAAATTATAGAACTCAAATTTTAGGCGAAGTCTATGACAATACGAAGCAACTGAATATTTAAGATCGTGAATTAAAAAATTAATATTAAAATTATCTTGGCTTGCTTTTAGCAATTATGTATGTGCTTTTATTTGCTTTTGGAGTTTTTTTAATTTCGTAATCTTATATTTTTATTGTCATAGACTCTTCCATTTAATTTCAAAATTTTTACAGTGTTCGCTGTTCATTTTGTTGCGATATTGTAGATGCTGCATCATCGTTAATACACATCCATTGATTTTCATTATTCTCCTTCCACAATGTGACCTTGTTGTCGCCACCAGTCACAGCCAGAATATTTCCAGTCATCGACCAACTAACACTCCAAACGACATCATCAAATGTATGCAAAATTGTCGAGGACCAAGTAGTTAGATCTGTGCTATTCCAGATGATCACATGACGATCTTGTGAAGCAGACGCGATTTGGGAACGAGCTAATCCGATTGATGGCGCCCATGCCACGTCACGTACCCAGTCCGAATGACCTTCAAGGCGATTCTCTTCCACCCAACGATCGGCGTCTTCACGCCAAATTTTTACACAATTATCGCAACCAGCACTGGCTAGACGCTTCACGGCAGTGTTACGTGCTGAAGCACGTTGATCGAATGCTGGCTCCGGTACTGTAGAAGAACACCAAGAAATAGCATTGCAGCCAATTGTATGTGCATTTGAAATTTTTTTGCTATCCCAAACGCCATATTCTATGTTGCAGGTTAATATGGATATTGATCCATCCGAACTGCCACAAGCGAGTATGAGTCCGTATTCAGCAGGCGCGAAGGCAACAGAATTAACAGATGAATCGTGATTGTTATATTCATAGCTGAAAAATTTACATTCAGTTCGTGAAACTTCATTTTGACTGCACATATACAAATGTATGTCTACTTACAATTTAGTCCACTCATTCGAAGCGCCCTCTTTCCATACGATAACCTTGCGATCGTATGAGCAGGAAGCTAATAAATTTCCAAACTTGGGATGAGCCCAAGCTACTTGCCACACTGGCCCTTGATGACCCTTGAGATCTGCTACCAAAATCTGATTGCCGTTCTTCACGTCAAAAACTCTCACAGACCCATCTGAGGAACAAGTTGCTAAATGCAGCCCATAGTAGTCCAGCACAGCATTGTGTATCATATCCTCGTGACCGGTATCAACGGTGTTAATTAAACTAACCATTTTTATTTAATTAATTGAAGGAATATATTAAATAAAGACAGAATTATTTTCTTTTTATCGCGGAAGGCGGTATCTGAACTTATTCGCGTTTCGTTTGACGTGGAGCTATGTTCAGTGCTGCCATACATCGAAAACATAAGAAGTAAATAAAGTTTAACACTTTTTTTATTGAATTAAATCAACTCCTATCAAACACCTAAGTGAAAAGTATTTCTATTGGATTGTGGTACAACAGATGTTGTCTTTTTTACTTTTTACTGACTAAACCCATTTAATGTTTTTGCGAAGAAAGTACCTTGTTTGGTTTTTGGCAATAAAAGTCATTTTCAATTTATTTTGCCATTCTCAATTTATTTTGCTTACCTAGAATATCACAGATCAACGAAGTATATCTCTTGGTAAAGAGTAATTTTTTTTTATAAAAAAATGCTGGGACAAAAAACAACTACAAATATGCATATATGACTAAAAATTTTGTTGCGACACCCAAATACGCCTGTTAAATCTGGTAGGGCTTATTACCAATCAGCTGGTTATTGTTTTCTTTCACGTAGAAACTCAGCAACCCTATTTGTGCTTAAAAACAATTTGCCGCCAAATAAGCTCCAACTGATATCAACAATCCTATTTGTGCAGAAATTTAGAAAAGTAAACTTTTTTTTATAAACATTGTGTATGCATCATGGAAGAAGGAGGTGGAAGCAAACCGAAATTTCTTCAAAATACAGGCAAATTTTCATCTGATACACGTGCTGAAGGGTATGTATTAAATCACCAACAGTACTGAAAATATCAAAACCTATCCATTCTCTACACTCAGCGATGACTTCTTTAATGAGGCTGGATATCGACAATCGCGTGAAAATGACAAAATCGACTCCAAATATGGTTTCGACCGGGTGAAAGATAGTATTGAACGTACTGGGTACCTCATAAATATGCACTCGGTAAGTTTTAATCTCAGGAGAGATAAATTTCTGCTTGTAAGTTATATGAATGCATATTTTTATACTTTAATATTATTTTCGAATAGACTGAAATTTTGGATGAAGATCGCCGTTTGGTCGCTGCATTAGATTTGTTTTTCATACAAATGGATGGATCTCGGTTCAAATGCACTGTAGCTTATAAACCCTACCTATTAATACGACCCGAAGAGAAACAATCGCATGAGGTGGCTCGTTTTCTAAGTCGTAAATATTCTGGTCAATTAGCGAGTGTGGAGCATATAAATAAAGAAGATCTTGATCTGCCAAATCACTTGATAGGCAAGAAGCAACATTTTTTGAAACTTTCATTCTTGAATCAAACTGCTATGACAAAAGTGCGCCGTGAGCTAAACGCAGCGGTCAAACGTAATGTGGAACGTGAAAAATCGAATACATTTTACATGCAAATGCTGTCGTCTTCGTTGGCAGCATCTAGCGTTGGTAATGATGGCGAAGTTAAAAAACAAATGGACTACATGGATCTCATTTTGGACATACGTGAACATGATGTGCCTTACCACGTACGTGTGTCCATTGATTTGAGTATATTTTGCGGTCAATGGTATAATATACGTTGTCGTAGTGGAGGTTTAGAATTACCAATAATAACACCACGTCCTGACTTACTTGAGCGTCCTGAACCAGTCGTGTTGGCGTTTGATATTGAAACTACCAAATTACCGTTAAAATTTCCTGATGCACAAACGGATCAAATTATGATGATATCATATATGATCGATGGTCAAGGATACCTTATAACAAATCGTGAAATCATATCGATGGATGTAAATGATTTTGAATACACGCCGAAACCAGAATTTGAAGGCAATTTCATTGTATTTAATGAGAATGACGAGATGCATTTAATTCAAAAATTTTTCGATCACATAATGGAAGTACGGCCACATATTGTGGTGACCTACAATGGTGACTTCTTCGATTGGCCATTTGTCGAGACTCGTGCCGCCGTCTATGATTTGGATATGAAGCAGGAAATTGGCTTTTCTAAACTGAGAGATGGGTTTTATTTAAGCCGCCCAGCTATACATATGGATTGTCTATGTTGGGTATGTACGAAAACAAAAAAAAAAGAGGATTAATTCTCAATATAGATCTTTTATATATCCAGGTAAAACGTGATTCATATCTACCAGTCGGCTCGCAGGGATTAAAAGCCGTAGCTAAGGCTAAATTACGCTATGACCCAGTTGAGCTGGATCCAGAGGATATGTGTCGAATGGCTGTCGAACAACCACAAGTTCTATCAAATTACTCCGTATCCGATGCGGTAGCTACATATTATTTATACATGAAATATGTACATCCATTTATATTTGCGTTGAATACAATTATTCCTATGGAACCAGATGAAATTTTACGGAAAGGTTCGGGTACGCTTTGTGAAACTTTACTTATGGTACAAGCGTATCACGCCAATATTGTCTACCCCAACAAACAACAAAATGAATTAAACAAACTATCAAATGAAGGTCACGTTCTGGATTCAGAGACATACGTTGGTGGTCATGTGGAAGCATTAGAGTCCGGTGTCTTTCGTGCTGATATACCGTGCCGTTTTCGACTCGACCCAAATATGGTTAATCAACTTAAAGATAATGTGACCAAAGTGTTAGTGCATGCAATTGAGGTGGAAGAGGGTGTACCCATAGATAAAGTAACAAATCTGGAAGAGGTGAACAAGGAAATAACACAGGCCTTACAAGGTGAGTCATAATATTTTATTCAATATTATATTACCGAACTGAATAACTTCTTCATACGCAGGCCTTCATGATATACCCAATCGCCTGGAACAACCGGTGATATACCATTTGGATGTTGGTGCCATGTACCCCAACATCATTTTAACCAATCGTTTGCAGCCTTCGGCAATGGTAAGCGAAACCGATTGTGCAGCTTGTGATTTTAATAAACCAGGCGCTAAGTGTAAGCGCGTCATGGATTGGTTGTGGCGCGGTGAAATGTTACCTGCGACGAGAAATGAATTTCAGCGCATACAACAGCAATTGGAGACAGAAAAGTTTCCACCACTCTTTCCTGGCGGTCCGACTCGCGCATTTCATGAGCTGTCGCGCGAAGATCAGGCTGCCTACGAAAAGAAACGGTTGACAGATTATTGCCGCAAAGCCTACAAAAAGACGAAGATTACCAAATTGGAAACGCGTACATCCACAGTGTGCGAGCAGGAGAATAGTTTCTATGTGGATACAGTGCGTGCGTTTCGCGATCGACGCTACGAATATAAAGGACTGACCAAAGTGGCAAAAGCAGCTGTCAATGCGGCGCTTGCATCAGGTGATGCTACAGAAATTAAGGCGGCTAAAGGCAGAGAAGTTTTGTACGACTCATTGCAATTAGCGCACAAATGTATTTTGAACTCTTTCTATGGCTATGTGATGCGGCGTGGCGCTCGTTGGCATTCCATGCCCATGGCCGGTATTGTGTGCTATACTGGCTCAAATATAATCACGAAAGCCCGCGAGATAATAGAGCGTGTAGGACGTCCATTGGAGTTGGATACGGATGGTATTTGGTGTATATTGCCCGGTTCATTTCCACAAGAATTCACCATACAGACGACGCATGAAAAGAAAAAGAAATTCAACATTTCATATCCGAACGCCGTGTTGAATACAATGGTGAAGGAATATTTCACTAACGACCAGTATCATGAGTTGGTGAAGCCAGCGAATGATGGCAAATTGCCAGAGTATCGTATACGCGATGAGAATTCCATCTTCTTTGAGGTGGATGGTCCATATTTGGCGATGGTGTTGCCTGCCGCCAAAGAGGAGGGTAAGAAATTGAAGAAACGTTATGCGGTGTTTAATTTCGATGGCTCGTTGGCTGAGTTGAAAGGTTTCGAGGTGAAGAGACGTGGTGAATTGCAGCTCATTAAAAATTTTCAGAGTTCTGTATTCGAGGCATTCTTGGCGGGCAACACGCTGGAAGAGTGCTATGCTTCTGTTGCCAAAGTCGCCGACTACTGGTTGGATGTGCTTTACAGCCGCGGTTCTAATTTACCGGACTCGGAACTTTTTGATCTGATTGCTGAAAATAAATCAATGTCCAAGAAGCTGGAAGATTATGGTGAGCAAAAGAGTACGTCAATTTCTACCGCCAAACGATTAGCCGAATTTTTGGGTGACCAGATCGTCAAAGATGCTGGTCTCGCCTGCAAATATATTATTTCGAAGAAACCAGAAGGCGCCCCTGTTACAGAACGCGCCATACCGCTAGCTATTTTCCAGTCAGAGCCGAATGTGCGTCGTTACCACTTGCGGCGTTGGCTTAAAGATAATACGATGGGAGATGCCGACATACGTGATGTGCTGGACTGGAACTACTACATAGAACGTCTTGGCGGTACGATTCAGAAGATCATCACTATACCCGCAGCGCTACAAGGGCTCTCGAACCCTGTACCGCGCGTTCAGCACCCAGATTGGTTGCATAAAAAGATACTTGAAAAGAATGATGTGCTCAAACAACGGCGCATCAACGAAATGTTTATGCCTAAAGCAAAGACAGCGCGCGAAATACGCGCCACAAGTGAAGTAGCTGATATGGAGGATTTGGTGGCCAGCAATGGTGCGGAAGGTGCGCTCGGTGGACGACCCATTGTGACAAAACGCAAACGTGTACATTCGGGAGAAACTGAAGAGCAGGATGAAGAAGCTAAGAAGGCCGCCGCGGCTACTACATGGCGTCAGGCCCTAGGAGCGCCACCACCAATCGGCACAACCCGTGCAGAAATCATTGAATGGGTACATTTCCAAAAGAAGAAATGGGCGTGGCAACTTGAACGTCGACAACGCATTCGACAATCTAACAAACGACCCCGCAATGATCAACCCGTAGCGTCGCTAATGCCAAGCGCACGGGATGGTGGCACAGCTACCGGCACAATTGGTGGTTTCTTGAGGCGCGCACAACGTGCTCTTATTGACCACATTTGGCACGTTCTACAAATAGTGCCCAATGACGATTTGGGCCATTTTACAGTGTGGCTGATGATAGGCGATGAGCTGCATCGCATCAAGTTGACCGTGCCGCGTATCTTCTATGTGAATCAACGTAGCGTGGCGCCACCCGAAGACGGTCAACTGTGGAAGAAAGTAAACAGGGTCCTACCACGCGCACGACCCGTATACAATCTCTATCGTTATAGCGTGCCCGAACAGGTCTTCAAAGATAATTGTTTGGGTATGTTAGCTGACCTTGCAACGCCTGATATCGAAGGTATTTATGAGACCCAAATGTCTCTAGAGTTCCGTGCACTAATGGACATGGGCTGCATGTGCTCTGTACAACGGCAAGAGGCACAACGCCTAGCCACCTTGGCCACCAAAGATCTTGAGAGTTTCTCAATTGAACAGCTGGAACAGCGACTGCAAGGGCAATCTTATTTGAAGAATGCTCAAAATAAATTACGCAAAATATTCCTCTATCAACACAATACACCAACGGCTAAAAAAGAATTGTGGGGATTATTCCTACTCTCTAGCCGAAAAGCGTTCATATTCGTGCTCGACACGGTGCGAACCAATCAGATGCCTAATATGCGCACATTATATACTGCCGAGCGTTTGGCGCTCATAAAGACCATGAAAGACGTGGCTGAAGTGGAACGTTTGCCGCCAGAAGAGTTCACATTTGAAGTGCTCATCGAGGTGGATGTGAAGCAGATCTACCGGCACATACAACGAGCACTCACCTCCTACAAAGAGGAGAAACGCGGTCCCTCAATGCTGTATGTGCAAACGGCGACGGAGGCACGGAAATTGAACTCGGCCATGCCGATCTTACTTGATTTTCCACAAGCTCTGATACACATCACTGATGACGCCTCACTCTTGTCCGGCTTAGACTGGCAGCGTCAGGGTTCCCGTGCATTGGTTCGTCACTTTTTGCATCTAAACAATGTGGTCGAGATGATGTTAGATCAATGCCGTTACTTTCAGGTAAGAATCGAACTAATATTTTCTCATCTGTTGCCTTCTTTTTAACGTTTCCTCTCGCTCTTCTAAATTTACAAGGTCCCCATTGGCAATATGCCACCCGATACAGTACTCTTCGGAGCGGATCTCTTCTTTGCGCGTATTTTACAGCGGAATAATTTCGTGCTTTGGTGGTCCACTACAACAAGACCGGATTTGGGTGGACGTGAAGCGGATGACAGTCGTTTGCTGGCCGAATTCGAAGAGAGTATTACGGTCGTACAAAATCGACCCGGCTTTTATAATGACGTGTGCGTGGAACTGGCACTGGACAGCTTGGCTGTAAGCGCTCTGCTACAATCGAACCGCATTCAGGAAATGGAAGGTGCCAGTTCGGCCGTAACGTTTGATGTGATACCACAGGCCTCGTTAGAGGAGATGATTGGCACTGTACCAGCGGCTACCTTGCCAAGCTATGATGAGACTGCGCTCTGCTCAGCGGCATTTAGGGTGTTGCGTCATATGGTTAACGGCTGGTTGCGTGAAGTAGCGTTAAATCAGAATATATTCGCTGATTTTCAATTGATTCACTTCTACCGTTGGGTGCGCTCCTCCAATGCGTTGCTATACGATCCCGCACTTCGACGTACTTTGAACAATCTGATGCGAAAAATGTTTTTGCGAATTGTGGCCGAATTTAAACGTCTCGGCGCGACGATTATCTATGCGGATTTTAATCGTATTATACTGAATTCGGGAAAAAAGACGGTTGTTGATGCTTTGGGCTATGTGGAGTATGTCGTGCAGAGCTTGCGCAACAAAGAACTCTTCCATTCCATACAACTTTCGTATGAGCAGTGTTGGAATTTTATGCTTTGGCTCGATCAAGCCAACTATGCTGGTATACGTGGTCAGTTGCCGCCAGGCGTAACTAGCGATACCGTTTTGTGCAGTGTTGACGATGATGATGAGGAACAAGATGGTAACAAAACGAATAACACGACAAAAAGTAAGCGTCGTGAGAATGAGGAGGCGGATGAAGATGATATTGAAGAGATTGATCGCCCCGAGGAGGCAGATGAAAACGCTTCAACTAACGGTGAAGAAGAGCAACAATTATCCTTAGAGTTGAATTGGACTATTGGCGAGCATCTGCCCGATGAAAATGCTTGTCGAGAAAAATTCGAAACCCTATTGACATTATTTATGCAATCGTTGGCCGAAGGCAAGTCTACAAGGCAAGCTATGAAGGATATTTCACATCCTGCTTTTGATTTTGTATCAAAACTCCATAAGAATTACGGTAAAGGCCGACCGAGTCCCGGTCTAGATTTAACACGTGCGATAGTGAAAGCATTGAGTGTTGATAAGGGATTGGCCGATGATATTAATGAACTGCGCCGAAATATGTTGCGACTGGTTGGAATTGGCGAATTCTCCGACCTGGCGGAATGGAAGGATCCCAGTGACACATATACCATTGCTGAAGTAATTTGTAAGGCGTGTAATCATTGTCGTGATTTAGACTTATGCAAGGACAAGCATCGTGCGATGAAGGACGGAATGTGAGTAAACTTAACAGAAATCCAATTGATTACCAAATGTTTACCATTTTGCTTTTAGTCCCGTTTGGCTGTGTGCCCAATGCTTTGTAGCTTACGAGAATGAGGAAATCGAAATGCGCATAATCGACGTGGTGCAACGTAAAGTTATGTCTTATGTGCTGCAGGATCTTAGATGCGCTCGTTGCAATGAAATAAAACGTGAAAATCTCGCCCAGTTTTGTCCTTGCGCTGGGGAGTATGTACCTCTCATAAGTGGCCGCGAAATCAATAGTCTGCTGCATACCTTCAAACGGGTGGGTGAGTATCATAAAATGCTGCTGTTGCAAGAAACGGTGGAGCAAGTCATTACTACGTAACATATTTAAAATCGGCACATTTTAAATGAGCTATTAAAAAGTATGATTAGGTAAAAAAAAGAAATATAAAAATGTTAAGCGTGTTCCCCAACTGTTTTTTATTTCTACCATTATGAGGCGTTTTTTCGTTAAATACCATAATGAAATAAATCGTTTATCAAACAACAGCAAACACGGAAAACTTCTTGCTACTACATTTGTAATTGATCACAAGCAGCATAGGGAATTTGCATTGTAAGAAATATTAAATAAATCTAGAGGGTTTGAGTGATGGGATCGATTTTGACCTCAGGGAATTTGAATTCGGGGAATTTAGTCATGTCGACCTTTCCATCACCACCGTATTGTTTTGCAACACGCTCCAGCTCGTTTTTCAACTCTCGTTCGATTTCTGGAGTGGCATCTACGAGTTTGCCACCACTAAATTAAGAAAATAGAAACAATGCACATTTATTTTTTTTTTATTACTATTTCACTTCAAATACCTGCTTTTTTTCTTGTAATCGCGCACTTTGTCCAAGAAAAGCTGTTGAATAGGGTCTGAGACCTTGTTGAGCGCTGGTGCCATAATGCCGATGCTACGGCGAGCCTCGGTGCGCAGCACGCGTACACTGGACAAAATTGATTGCGACAACATCTGCAAGGAAAATTAAAGCAACATGATCAGTTTTGAACTGTATTGTGGACATTCTATTCAAAGGAGTAACCTAAAAAGGTTATGTAATGATAACAAAAACTGTTTGCTATTACATAGATCGAAGTCGTTTAGGCTTTATTTCATTTTTGGCTTTGAGTATCAGTCATCCGTTAACTATTGCGAGTGTAATATTTACCTTTATTTATTGTGTTAGTTAAAATTCTTCACAAATTTAATTTGCGAAAAGAATATTCCCAATCTGCTCTAGCACTGTCAAAAATCTTATTCCCAATTTGGATTGTCAAAATTCAGTCACAATGAAGTTAGCTGTTGTTGAATTTGGTAGAAAATGTTCGTTTAAAAAGCTTCTGGCAACACTTCTAATAGCCGACAGATGACGCCTATAAAAGTTGCAGCGAAGGATTGAATAAAGTTATTTAGAATATTCAGAAAAATTTGGAATTTCTTTAACAATTCCTTTTTCATTTTAAGAGCTTAAACGTTTTGCTAACTGGGTTTGTGATTAGTGTCATGATACAATTGGGATCTTTCATAAATTGGTCAACATGAAGCTTATCATTTACGAACAGTTGCCGGTTAAATCAGTGCGAAGACTTAATGCCCTAACCAACTTATAGCGTAAATTCAAAACTTTGCTTCGGCTGGACGACATCGCTCTATAGGGTATTGCGAGGATTTCAGTTTGGGACGGTTATGGTGCGGTAAACGATTTTCTGATCGCTTTTATATCTTTTCTCTAGAAGTACTCTTCAACTATTTGGTATAATTCATTGCAAAGCCCTTGAGAGAAAAACTGCTTCTTACCTCGAAATGTGGCCACTGACCGCAACAGGTGCCATGAAAGATGATCCTGATGCAGTTCTTATTTGCAGTCGAAATTCTATGCCGGCGCTTACTCATCTCGGACCTAAAGAGATATGTTGGACAAGTGAGCAATTGAAACGTCGTCGAACAAAGATCAAACTCTACAAATCGCTCATCATTCTCGCTCTGCTATGTGGTGCGGAGTTATGTACGATGACAATATGTTATGAATTGGTGTTCGGAAATTTCGAGAGAAAGGTTTTGCGTTATTAAAATTATTCTCCAATTTGGTTTTCGGGGAGCAGTTGGGGAGGGACAGTATTTGGACGGTTACAAATCAGAGTCATTCCAGTATAAGGGCACAACTGTCGCGGGAACTATTGCATTTTAGTTGCCTCTATCTTACCGCGGGAATATTTTTGAACCCTTAACCAGCAAGAATTTCTGTTTTCTCTCGACTGCGACACTGCAATTCTAATCATACTAGCTGTTCTTCCTAACTTTTCCAAAAACCAATAGTTTCGTTTGCAGGTGTAGATAGGAAGCTTGAAATTCTATTCCACAGTTTCCGTATAGCAAAGTGTTGAGGAGTGCTCTCAGAGAGCAGGAGCTCAAGTCGAATTTGGATGCCTGTTGTGATTGCAGTATTACGGGCATCACACCTTCCTTGAGTTTGTTTACGGGGGATCTTTACGGTATTGCTACTACAAGATAGTGGTCCGAGCCGATGTTGTGCTCCTCGGAGCGTACGTTCGTCAAAAACTTTGAAAACATGTTGCGCATCTATCATAACATGATTGATCTGGTTAAGAGTTTTTCGATCCGGACACCGCCAAGTTGCTTTATGAATTTTCTTGTGCTCGAATATACTACTACAGACAATCATCATCGTCCTTTTCTTCCGTCGAGGCGTGTGGGCAAATCAGAGACATGTTTAAGAACTTCGCTTCTATGCCGATTATGGCGAGACGTTCTGGATCGGGTCTCTCTCCTATCAAATTTGTGCTTCCTCATATATCTCCTTTATTTGGGCGCTGTAGTAAATGCCAGGAAACCCTAATAGTTTCCGTTCTTGTCCCTTTTTGTACGGCGGTGACACCAGCTAATTGTGTATAAAGATTTTTCTTATTGTTGGATAAAATTAACATTTAACCGATTATTTATTTAACAACGTTTTATTTTAACGTTTGTTGGGTATAAAATCATTTTAGCTCTCCACATACGCCGCTGCAGCGAACGAACCTGGAAAGAAGCGCAACTGGAAATTCATTCATAAATTCCGCTGTACCTTTAGCATAGTAAAAGCACACACAGACAGACACACACTCACACTTACACGAGTACTACGAGTATATAAAAGCGCATAGAAAAGGTGCGCCAACGGCTCAACTGAGTACGAGCATTTACTCTCAGAGCTGCAGCGACAAATGGCGCTGCAGTTGGTGCCTAAGTGTGTTGGCATACAACTGCGAAATTATTCTCCTCTACTCAGCACCTTTCGCTGTATACCTACCCGCCAGGGCCGGTGCCATCATGACCGGAACGGGCTTATTGCCAAGAGGGGACATTTTTTTTTATCCGCCTCGGTGTTGGGCAGCTTTTTGAATGAATAACAACAATTACGTGTATAAAAATGTAAAATGTATCTACATACTCGTATATATGCACGTGTGTACATGTATATATTTTAGGTGCATATACATATGTATTTATATTAAAAATGTTTTTTTCTTTAATAAATTTAAATGTATTAGTGAATAATCGTGTGAAATGGATTAAAGAAAATCGTTGACAGAGAAGAGAGAAATAGAGAGAGGGAGAGAGAGAGAGAGAGAGCGGCCGTATGAGGAGAAAACCATCTTTGTTGTGGTTCTAAAATTGAAAATGAAATAACTTTTTCTCATTTGGCGCATTTGGCGGCATCTCGTGGGCTCTTAATTTCGCTCTGTGCCCCCTCGACGGCAGGTTATGCTGATAAATGACGCCAGCCGCAACATCGACTTTGCTGTCGCATACATTATTTATGTTATTTTTCTAAATAAATATGTATGTATGTATGCATAAGTGATCGTGAATGATCGTCTTTTCACTTGATCTGTATTATTATTATTTTCTATTTTCAAAACATATATATAAATTTATTTTTGGTAAGTCAGAGTAGAAAATGCAGAGTGAAGATGATGCACATACATACATATACGTACATATGTCCTTAATGCTTTACATTCTCTGCTAAAGCTGATGAATGAATTCGCATGTCCAGTACGCAAAGCATTTTCGGATAACTCAACCAGGGGAGGCCGCTGCAGTGACTACATACATACACACATATAGAGGTATTAACAAAATAAGAGAGTAGGATTTCATTGACGCCGCATTAGGAGAGCGGTAAGCAGTGTCTAATGCTAAGCGGCAAGTCAAGGATTTGGATCCTGTCCAGACCTGTTGTTATTGTAGCTTAGGGACCGGCTAATCAATCTAAGTCACCGAGGTCAACGGGATGTCCAGGTAACGTGCTATTTCGACGGGATCCAAGCAGTGGGAGAAGGGAGGAGGGCGGTTTAAATATGCCGGTTTCAGGGGACATGTAAAGAGGTGGTTAGTGTCGTGCGGTGATTCTCTATATGCAGGACATATGTACGTTAGATATGTTGGGGTTGAGTCTGGATAAGTAAGAGTTTAACCTGCTACCTGTCCAGATCAGAAACGCTTCCAAAAATTTACACTGAGCGTAGTCGAACAGGGATCTGTAGTCGCTCGATTCGATGGGAGAAATCGGATGGTATATTAGGGACTCGAAGAATAATGATGGCTACCTCTTTAAAAGGTCCGGTTAGAATTGTTGTTTCTATTAAGTTTTTGACTGCAGTCGTGTGTCGTTGCAGAGTTTTAGCCGATTAATATTACGTAGCATTATAGATATTTTCGAAATTTAATATGTGCGGTAGGACCCACTCTCTAGGTCCAAGGAATTCAAAAACCTTGTTGGATAAATGGCTGGCTCATCTGCTTCCACAACGGTGTCTATTGACTTATACGTAACGCATTCATCATTGTTTGTTGCAGCGACCATAGATCGCCCACTCAGCCACCCAAGGATCCATTTGGGAATACTCCATGAACCAATTCTTCTTTTGATGTCACTAAAATACAGAAGTTAACGGGAAATGTAATCTTTCCGAAAGTCTAATCAATTGGTATTGCCGTTCATCAGCCGATGGATCAATTTGCAGGTTGACAGGCCTATTGGTGGTTAATGTCAGAGCTTTCATATGTCACGACGACGGTAAGCATTTTAGGCCAGTATTGATCTCGTCCGCTAGTGGGGTTCGAGCAATGAAAAACAGTATTGTTTTGTAAATATTTTAGTCGATCGATGAGTTTTCGAGATATGTGGATCATTACAAAAGAACGTAAGATTTATATATATATATAAATTTCTATCTACTTATTGGTAAGTATGGGTCACTCCTTCGATTCTTACGATAATGCTGAGTGCTTCGAAGTGAGCGAAACGCACCATTCGGATCTAGGCTTATTCATACCAAAGTCGAAGCCGAGCCGCAAAATAAATCGATAAATAAGGAATTTTCTTTTCGTAAATGCCCAGTCCATGGTTCAATTCCCGAAAATCGTTTTTCGTATAAACCTTCCCAGGATCCATGGAAATAATCTGACGAAATTTCAAGCCAATAGGCCGCTAATTTTTTGAAAAACACCGGACCGTTACAAACGGAAATCAGATTTATATGTATAGATTAGTTTATTGTGGGGCTGCAATTAAGGGCATTTGTTGGAAAAACGTCAAGGCGCACAATACAACTTCTGAAGGAGGAGCTCGGCCGAAGCGGTTATGAAGTTTTAATTATATGAAGGGTGCCTTTTTATATATGTTATGACCAAGTGTTTAGCTTTGTATTAAAGACATGAGTCTGCGATTTTGATTGAAAATTGATTTTGGCTCAGTGACTACCACGGCTGACTCGAATAAATTCTAGTCAAGGGACAATCTTTGGACCACTTTTTTTTTGACATTTAGGGCCATATGGCAGCAATAATACGCCCGAATTATCTCGTTGAAGACGTCAGTCGTTTCAGACTTATCTGCGTAGACAAGAGACTTCACATAACCCCACCACCACGCGAGTTAATAGTTTCCTTCAATAAATGGATTGTTTTATTGACTGTATGGCATGCAGTGCCGTCTTGTTGGAACCAAAGGTCGTCCGCATCAACATCCTCCAATTCAAGCACGTAAAAGTCATTAATCGTGGCTCTACGTAGAAATACGGAACAACGATTCCTCTGCCTATAGAGCATACCAAACACTGACTTTTTGAGGATGTAACGTCGCCTTAACAACGACTTTTGGATTGTAATCACTCCGAATGGAATCATTTGTTTTATTAAAGTATCCATTCAATCAAAAGTGAGTTTCACAACTAAAAGAACAAATTGCCATCTCGTTTTGGGTCCTTTCTTCGATCGTGCGATGTGTTCGATGGTCGTACTGCTTCAATTATTACACGCGTTGGATTTTGTAAGCGCGCGAATCCAGATCCTTCCCCAAAATCTTCCCTAAAGTGTATGGGCTCCCATTTGTTGCGCGAATGTCTGAAGGCGCATGGAGTTTTTTAGGTTTTCTTCAATACCCTGCTCAGCACAGCACGGCATCTCTGATTATGCGCATTATCAATTGGTTGCTGGAAGTACCGACTCCGTTGGGCGCTTATGTGGACCGAATATTTTCTATTCATTACGAATTGGCACAGCAAACTGAGTACAAATGAAGTAAAAGCTGTCGAAAGGTCTAACTTCGTAATAAATATTGCCGCATAGACAACTACACGTCTAAAAAATCCCATGACGGGTGAACCATCTAGATCATATTCATCTCGTAGCTAAGTTCAAAAGTATAGCAAGGAAAAAGCGGGGCACGTAAACCGTGGGCATTATTGGTCGGTTTTTCTTCCTAAATGGAAAAGGTGCTGCCTTTGCCGTCAGTACTGATCACTATGTTGTTAACCAATTTTGAAAAGAATGAGATGGACAATGTGTTGTTTCAACAGGACGGTACCAGAGCCAATTGACTCCGCTTGACTATATTTTGTAGTGAGCCCAGGAGGACTTTTCCGCTTGAACTATCCCTTTACTTACAGGCTATTATCGACTCTCAAAAAACAGTCAGCGCCCTCATGTCTCCCACATCTCATAGTTCCACGTAACTTAAAACACCGACAGTGGCCAGAAGCCTTCGTGCAAACACCTGAAAAACGCCGAAAAGTTGTTCTCCCCGTGAAGAAGTTGACATTAGAGGTTTTTGAGTTGAAGATTGGGCGAAAGATTTATAGTTCTCTGCATGTTGACAACGGCGGATACCTCAGACGATGAGCTATTTGAGACGTACAGCGCATATAGAGACTGGCTATACTGAACAATTATCTTGGATCCTCTGGTCATTGTAGATTCTCCAAAGTGGGATAACTTAAAATCAGTTTCCTCCTTGAGCTCATGTGATCAATTTTTTTTCATTTATTAATGCTTTTGACAACTGTTAAAATGTTCAGTCTAAGTCATCGAGATCATCTTACAGTCCAAGAAATAGGCTGTTTCGACGGGTTCGGACCAAAGGGGAAAGCGGGATTAGATGAAATGGTTTTAGGGGGTATGCAAGGAGGTGGTTAGTGTTATGAGGGGCGTCATTGTATGATGGACATACGTTGGACATGTCGGGATAAAGTTTGGATGTGTGGGAATTAAGTGTACTATAATATACAGATCTTAATTTTGCCGATATTACTAAGGTTTCGCAAGGTAGTTCGAGCTATTGACTTACAACTGCTAGTGTTTGGATTCTCAAAACGCCATTCACAGGAAGACAGTTTATGAACATGTTGTGTGGACTACCAGGGAATGGTCTCTACATTAACTTCATCTTGTCCGGTATACAATAAATTATCCGATGGTGGAAGCAGTGAAAAAGAAAAGCCTCCATTCTGAGGGAAAAATCGTGTGGGAAGGGACCTGACTTCGTTTGGATATTGTTAAGACTATTAGATAAAAGAAGAAACCTATATTTTTAAGCCACCTCCGAAGGGCTGGTGGATTTTTCTGCGAAGCCATGTTTTTTTGAAAAAAAAACACCCTCGAGCGTGTGGAAATTCTCTATCCTGGGGACCACACTAAAGAAATCGTTTTCTATTTAAGAAAAATATTCAGTCCTTATATTTGTACATACATATAATATGTATGTAGTTTAGAGTAAGATAACAGTTCGGTATGTGAGTTTCAACACATTAACACGGAATTTCAGATAATCACACTGGGACTCTCACTTTTCGGTCTCTTATCAGCAACAGTACGAACGAATGGCCGCGGCTATCAGCTGTGGAGAGTAAAATCTGTATGGGTAAAATAACCTAAACAATAATACTTGCATACATATGTAAATATATGTACATACATATATGCAATTGGAAATAAACGAACTCGCAGATACAAAACAATCCGAGAGTAAATTTGAACGAGTGAGAGACCCACTGAACGATCGCCTATACCATGTGGTCATGCAGTGAAGACTTGAATGGATGTGCGTACATACATATGTATGTATATAAGTTTGTATGTAATTTTTTTTGTATGCATATGTAGAGTACGCCCAACGTCAACAGCGACGCTGGCATCGACTTTGCAACAGTGTTTTAGGGATAGGAGAACACACAACAGTGACAGAACAACAGAGCGACCAAATTCAGTTGATAGCGACACTCTGTGTGCGGCAAAACCAACAAATTTCAGTGCGGTCGTATTCAAAAAGATTTCAGATATTCACTTAGTATACATATGTACATATTTTTTTGATTTAAAATATCTACAAAACTCAAAGGCAGCGTTATTGCATTAAAAAAAAAAAACGAATATAAATAAATAAATTTTGAAAAAATAATAAAAAACGATTTTTTTGAAAATAACAACAAAGTATTAAAATAAATTAATTTCTACACCTCGAGTGTAATTAATTTTTTTTTAACAAAAGTGCCAAAAAGTGTTGATATTAAAAAAAGTATAAGAATAAAAATATTAACAATAAATTTAGAAAATTAGTAATAAACAAAAAGTGCAATTAAAAAAGTTTAACAATTTAGAAATAAAATAATAACTATATTTTTGTGCAAATATTAAAACTGAACTGAGCGAACACTTTTTTGCAACGCGTTGGCGGTTCATTGAGCATTTTTGTTGCAAATTACTAACGTATATATGTACATACACGTATGCTCATACAAGCATTTGCTGTTTCGATCAAAAATATATAAACAGTTAATCGCATATTAACTTACCCGGCCAGCAACAACAACATCTACTAATTAAACCAACCAACATCAGTTGTGGACAAAAAAAACCTACAACAGAACGGCCTACAACCAGATACATATACATACATACATATGTATATATGGTTATATATGAACCAGCATAGGTGGTGACGGCTGCGGCGACGACGCTCACTTGCATACATACATATGTATATGTATATGCGCATATGTGCACATTTTGAAACGCCGGCGGCAAGAGAAAAAAACGAGATACAACAACAAGAACAGCAAGTGTAAAGTTAAACGAGCGACTGACTGCCCAATAGTCACTCCGTCAGTCAATGAGACAACCACGCAGCAGGTACCTACATACTTTCGGTTGACTATCATAGTACATATAGCTGTATGTACACGTACATGACAGACATATAAGATTGGTCGGATCTACCTACTTGCCTACCTACTTACTGACACTGTATGCAGCAATGCAGCACCCAAAAACTCAACTGATCGCAGCCTGAAAGTAAATATCATAAAGCGAAAACAAATACTAAACACAACAACAACAACAAACAAGTGTATAGCAATCTGAGTCGCCTATAAGATTATTTATCCAATTTGAGAGTTGTGCATGTGTGCATCGGTGGCAAAAACGACGTCGTACCTTAACTCAAAAAAAAGAGAGAAAGAGCCACAGAGAAATCCGTAATAGGTGATCCTGGCAAAAGTGGATATTCGAAAGTCGTAGACGTAACGTAAAAATAGTTGGAAAAATACTGTGTTGAATAATGTATGATAGAAAATTCTGAAAATCGCCGTAATAAGAAAGTGAAAATTCAACTTTTCTGATTTACAGAAAAAATTATAGGAAATAAGTTTCTGGAGAGGCGCAGTATCCTCTTAAGTGAAATATTATATAATAATTAATTCTTCAGTGCCTTCTAAAGAGTTTTAATTGAAAAAATATTAAAAAAATATTTCAAATTTGAAAACAAAAATATTCTAATACACAAAATAAATAATCCAATTGGCAACACTGTCTAAATGATCTCAAATTTTATATCGATGCCAAAAAAATAGTGCAGTTCAAAAAGCTTGAAATATCTCATATATGTATGTGATTTGATAAGAATCTAGAAAATAGAAAATTATTTAAAAAATAAAAGCTTAAATTAATTGGTTTTAATGTTCATTGGGTGCTCAAAAATAAAGCAGACAAATTAAATGATTACACAAATGAATAATTATCAAAACAAAAAATATATTATATTTAAATAATATAACAAATTTTATTAAAAATATATGCTTCTTTGCATAAATTTAATTTTGACTTCACAAATAAAGTAAATGTATATATATATATATATATTAATTAAATATTGCATTAATTAGTTAAACAAATAAAATTGTGCGCGTTGAGTTTGTATAAAAAATACCCGTGTGATAAATACATATCTAGAGAATATCAGTAAATTAATTGAAGAAAAAATTCGGGCCTACAGATACATTTTCTGTGAAGTGAACTTTATACTGTATACATTGTAAACAACAACAACAATAAACACCCATATCAACTTTCTTCCTCAACTGTAGTCTCTTTCATCATATAAATATACTGTGCCTGAGGTTCCTGTGTTAAGGAGTTCCATATTTTCTTCACGCAACATTAAAGGCATCAAAGGGAATACCAACTGGCATCAAAGCCAGCCAGATGTAAGTTGTTACGCAAACATTTATGTATAGTACATATATAAAAAAGGCTTCGACCTGAACGATTGACGGATCAACCCACAGTGTAAACCACTAACCGTAGAGATTTGCATATAACATGGGATTTTCTGGGATATAAACCTGTGACCGATCTATTTGAAAAAAAATTGGATTTATTATTAAATCTTTGGATTTTCATGAAATTCGGTGCATACTCGTGCATATGTACAATAGGTAGCTAATTGCCTAAATTGACTTTGGGAACCCTATTTTTCGAAATATTTTTCCAAACACTTTTATTTAACCTTCCCCTCACGCACGTAATCGATTCGATGGTCCGGTTTTGCTTAGCATAAATATTTTCCGAGTAGTTGGAAGCCATATTATAAATATATATATGCACATATGTATATAGATTTGGTACTTTATAAGCGCTAAAGCGATTTTCTGTAGAGCTCTTCCTCCAACGGCTGTTACATTTTTATAAGGAGCTATTGTTTTCACACCAAAATTTCATTCCGATGGCTTGACATTCCCTGTCGTAGGACGAACGCAACTAGAAAAAATAATTTTCTATAATCTTGGATGTTTGTTGAACCCGGATTCGAATCCAGGCCTTCAGAATGGCAGCATACATTGCTAACTACTCGAGTGTATTTTGGACAGAAATTAAGGGCTCCTCATAAAAATCCTTCAGCCGTACAGAGGCCTCCATTTGTTGGAAAAACATCCAGACGCGCACAACAGTTTGGAGGAGAAGCTCGTCCGAAAGAATTACTTCAGAACCGATTAAATATAAACGAACCCAAAAATATTTCTTTCAGGTTCTCTTGTCCAATCTTCGAATACTAGATTTATTTTGAAAGTTTACATTTAATCGAAAAACGGCCACGTACTTCAAAAAAATAAATTTATTTGAAAACCAAACACGAAAATTTCACATAAATCGTTGCAATAAGGTCCGTACAATCTGGCATCCCAGTTTGAAAAATGTGATTATGAGAAAAACGCGTTTAAAATTTTTATTGTACTCAGTGCACGCTCTGAGGGGCTGCAGCAAAATGAAAAGTTGAGCTATTTCAAATATTTTTTTCACCTTAAAACCAATTGCATATCATTTCTAGAGCCCAAAGGTACCCTGTTAGCAAAAGAAAAATTGCGATTTTTAAAATCCCAGAGTGGCTTTCCCCCTTAAGAGAGCAAGCAAATCTGTTGTTAGTGTGCGGAAGCTTAGTTTATCTCAGTATATACCCAAAAGTTTGTTAAGCTTTTTGACTTCTTTCAGCTTTGGCCCAAAACTAGCAAAAAATCACACGAGATGTGCGAACCGATATGCCGAAATCTTCACTTCGCCAAATCCGATTCGTTGATTCTCTATAACAATTTGATGCAAATTCTTTGATGTAATATTTTCGAGAGTAGAAAATCTCGGAACACACAAAGCTCTTGTAACATGAATGACTCTTTAAAAAGAGCTAAATACGCTGTGGAGGTGAAATTATAAATTAGCCCAGTAGCAACAGTTATTAACTAAGAAATGAGTTGCTAAAGTGTGTAGGAAGTGTGAGGGCATGAGGGGAGTAAGAATTTTAACACCGCGATGTCCTCGAAATGTCAGCACAGAATAACTAGCACATTTGGGGATACGAACTGATCAGTTGATCGATCTGGGTATATTATTAGTCAGCGAGCAATCAGCTGAGTTAGTTTTATGGCAGAAATAAATTCGCCACTGGTTCCTATGGTACAAACGAAGGTAGTGGGATCGGTAAGCGGTGGTAACTTTTTAGTTACATGACGCTCGCATAAGATAGTGTGTTGTGACAGTTGAGTAGTTACCTCTTTGGCTGGTTCGGCTAATACTCAGGAGTTCGAATCGATTAGTTAAGATGCTTGCTTTATTCTGTAGGGGCATTCACACCTAAATAGTAGATTCGAGACGAGTTTAATAACTTAATCGGATGTACGTATGTAGCCGCGAAACTCGAACATTCCTTGGTTTTTGACAGACCTCGCATTTTTTTTTTTTAATAATTTAGAAATTTTTCTGAATTCTTCGAATGGTTTCAAAATTAATATTTGAGGTTCGGTTCCTCCAAAAACTGTCTTTTTCTCCATAAAATTTTCTTCATTTAAATTGAAATATATTGATAAATCAAAGTTTTTGTAGAGGCCGACTTTTTAATTTTTTTTACCCTTTTCCAATTTTTATTGTATAAATTTTTTTTTAAATAACAATGAATATTTTTGTTTCTATACCGATCATAGAGAGACATTTTAGGAGTAAAATTCCGTTTAGTTCATGTTTTGGAGAAAAACGTGATTAAAGTACTCGAGCGGACGGATTTGCTCTCCCATCTTCCATACTTACTCCTTAGTCTTGCCGATCTTTGGGACTAATTCTATATTATATCTAAGAGTAGCTTCGAATAATTTACAGAAAAAAAAACAAGAATTTCGATTTTTTGAAATCTTTTTAGAGGAACCTTAACCTGTCCTTAAACTTATTTGGGTCATAAGGAATACCAAACACGGAATTTGGTTTGAAGGCCTTAGCCTTTGAATTCAAGCTATACTAGATTTAGATGCTGACTTTCAAAGTTGGATTCCGTACTCCAAGACGGCTTTATGAGCAAATTAAAAAAGAACACTTTGTTTTCTAAGCTTTGTTTGGACTGAGAACCCTAATTTTAATGCAAATTCGTAATTTTCTATTAAGTTTAGGCAATATTTTTTTCTATCTCGTTTTTAAAGGTGAGTCTCTTTCCAATGTACGAGTAAGTGCCAAGTAAGTAAGGAATTTTCTTTCTGGTATTCTATTATCATTTATAGAGATGGAAGGGCACACTTGGACTCATTGACTTTAATTCTCCCAGTAGTTATCCATTCTGCCATTATTTTTATATGTTGTTGTAATCTATGAGTGGCCACAACGCTAAGTATTGCCGTATCATCCGCCAAAGTTGATGTGAGGATTTTTCGCATACACTTACTTGTTTGCGGAACATCAGCAAATATTTCATAGGCTATATAAAATATATAAATATTTATATATAAATATTTACGGGAAGCGTACCTCTAAGTTGTATAATAGCCCGTGTCCCGGTGGTATTTTGTTTTCAATAAAAGTTTTTCGAAGATTTTGAAGAATATCGCTATTAAGTTAAAAGGCCTATATGAGCCTATCAAAGTGAGATGTTAAACTGGTTCCAGGATAAAGATATAAGACATCCGTTTGATTGTCATTAGTGGAAGCTACTTTATCAGATCACCCGTTATCCTGTCCTATAAAAAAGACTTCTTTTTCTGAATATCATTAGTAATAATTTCTCGAATAATAATATTAAAATGAATAAAATTGTCATCTCGATCTTCATGAACTTTTGAGCGCCCACGGCTACGCTTACAGGACCCTATCCTTTTTATGATATTTTCCATCATCAAATCGCAAAGTGGCTGTAAGCCGTCAAAAGCTTCTCGCAAATCGCAAGTGTATGAAAACAAGATCTCGTTCGCCAATTGCGATTATCTCTTCGAGAAATAACACTGACCTGAAAGTCTTCCCTTTAAAGATCAATGCTTTCATTGCTTGTGCGACACATAACGTCGTCTTGTCTGAGCCCCAGATGCGACAGTTTTGATTATTGACGTAACCATCGATGTGGGAATGGGCATCATCAATCAAAATAAATTTTTGAAGAAATTCCGGATAATTTGTCCGCATTTCAAAGACTCAATCGACAAAAGCGTGCTGTTGCTGATAACCGGGCGGTTTGAGTTCTTGTGTTAAGTGAACTTTATAAACTTTAAGACCCAAGTAGTAACGTTTATAGAACACTCAATTCCGAAGCACGACGAGGAATGGACCAATGTGGGGTTTTTTCAACCATTTGGGCTACAAAAAAAATTTTTTTTGGTGGTACTTGAGTGACGTGCATATTTTTTTATTCTTCACATCACTAACTTGTCCCAACTGCTGCAATTTCCCCACCAATTTTTGTATTGCGGTCCGACAAAGTGCTTCCCGATGACCGAAAAATGACCGAAACATTATTTTTACGAACGGTTTTTGCCATTTTTTCACCATTTTTATAGCGTGTGTCGATCCATTTCTTTTACTGGCGTAGTTTCTACTTGTCAAAAGTCCAAAACCTCCAGCTTCAGTTGTGACATCTGCCGGAACAACAGGCTATTCAAAATAACACCTCTTACTGGAAAACCCTTTATTTGAGTTTGAAACATTAAGTTGAGGTGTTATTTTTGGAGAATCTCTTGAAGAGCGTTTTGATGCATTAGAAAAAGGTAATTTTAATCTGCTCGACTTGTCCATTCGTCCATTCCTCGCTACCAACATCAATCTGAAAAATACTTTGATCAATAGCAATGACAATAAAGAACTATAACTGCAATAGGATTGCCTTTGTATTCTGAAATTATACATATATACATATATATGTTCGGTCCTTTTGTAACCGTTGAAGCGATTTTCGGCCAAGCTTTTACTCCAATTTGTGTACAACGACGGGACCTACGGTTTATTCTAAGCCAGCTCCGATCGGCCGATAGATTTTTATGAGGGGCTGTTCATTGTCATGGCCAAAATGCAAGACTTAAGATTCTCTACATAGAGGGTACAATTGGAATAACTATTATTGGATATTGGTCGAACGAGGAACCAGGAGTCCTTGGTATTTGATCAGTGGGTTATGCGATCGCGGCGGTTTAATGAAATTAATCCAACTCATATTCTCTAGATTTCAAGTAGATTTATACCAAACAATGTCATTTATTAAAGAGACATTGATGAAACTCACATTGAAAGTGTTACATATGTACATATATATATGTATGGACTGGTATAAGAATTATGTATCATATTATATATTTACTTAAACTGATGCCACACAGATAACGAAGCAATATAAACGGCATACAATAAATATTAGGAAACTAAAAACAACTTTGCCTTCATCGTCATTATCACCAACACGTTATAACTCAAC